TATATATACACACATACACACACGTACGTGTGTGTTGTGCGTGTGACAACAATGTAACAGAAGAAGTATCAATATCCAGGATCCAGGTACGTCCTGGACGACCAGGATTGTGCAGAACCTAAATTTCTGATTCCGAACCTTTCCCACACCTCAGCCCTTAACCCTGCCCTTAAACCTTCATTAATCCCTACATGATTCCCTATATTCTCGGCCCTGAACCCTAAGCTGTTCAAACCCTATACCCTTAGATGGTGTCGCGTGCCACAGGTAGCCGGAAGACGGCCGAGAGCACAGCGGCACAGAGAAGGCAACCATGTGTAAAGGGAAGGAGCAGTTGCGAAGCCGCCATCACTTGAACCCTAAACCCAAAACTCTAAAACTTCCACCCCAAAACCAGACCCTCAACCCCAAACGCGAAATTATGTTGACTTACATTCTTGCTATGTGCCGGTTTAAAGGGGGCATGCTTTGTCGCTAACAAGTGCATGCACATTGAGGTCCCTGGGCTGGGCGGATACAGACCCTCATGACGGGTATCAACCCCAAGGGTTTAGGGTTTAGGGTTTAGGGTTCTGAGATCCTTGTGTTGCTGTGACGCGCTCTACTTAAAACAACCCTAATCACAAGCCGTAGGCGTCCGGGTTTCGGTGTAGGTTCAGGATTTGTCATTCAACCGGTTTCGGGCATCGAAGATGCGGTCCCACGCCCTGACTGCCAGATCTATAGAGTTCGATAGTTCGATACAACTTGTCTGTTGAAGTCTGTCCAATGCCAAAAGTGATCAGTGCTGCCCTTCTTCTTTCGACTGGTAGCAGAAGACTTAGTAGAGACGGCTGAGTAGTTAGCAACTGCATCCCACTTACGCTGTTTCTACAAGCTTGCTAGAACTTGGAAGCAAATCGAGTTCGACTGTTTAAGACCAAAGAAACCCTTGTAGTAATTAACCCTTCAAGAACCCTGAAAGAATTATGCAGACAAGAGCAATTGTAATCCGGCTGTCAAAGCATAAACCATGTTAATGCTTTGTTTTTGTATTCCACCACTACAACGTTCCGCTACCGTCTTGACAATCCAAGTTAAGCTAAGCTATATTTGATAACGTTTCTGGTTCCTGCCCCTGGCAGGAACTAGTTATTGGTAAATGGTTCCCGCTCCCGCCGGGAACCAACTCCTCATTTTTGATTGTAGAGGTTTTGATTTCGTGTATGTAAGACAGACAAGAATACAAGTACTCCTAATCAAGATATTAATGTTAGCACTGTCTTCGTTTACAATCTTGACAATCTGTTTTGAACGAATCCAAATGGTTTACATATATACTGTACTTGTCTGCAATCTTTCCAATCTACTTCAAGCAAGGGCCCTGTTCTATTCATTGCCTGTAATCGTGTGTTGCCGGGTGCGCCATGAAGGCCGTGTCAGGACATAAAACCCAATGCATGCTTGGTTTAGGGTTCAAGGTTTAGGGCCGTCAACCCTAAACCCTAAACCCTAGACCCTAAACCCCCAACCCATAACTAGAATGCGCTGTGCCTTCCTCGAATTAAGAGCTTGGGCATCGTGGCCACGCGCGCCTCGGGTTCTCGTGACCGGCGCAGCCTTCAAAACCCTAAACCCTAAACCCAGATAAACCATCAGTCCGAACCTTCTCTGGGTCCTTCTTGGTTACAATTTTACATTTGTGTTATAATAAACCCAACAAAGATTGAACATGATCATTTTTATTCTGGCCCCAACAGGGAGCCAGTTTTAGGGTCTAGGGTTAGACTTTTGCTTCCCTGGTTTATCGGCGAAGCTCAAGGCTTGCCTTCGGGTGTTTCAGCGGAATATCTGGATTCCTTTCAGGCTGCAGCAGCTATCCAAGTTGGTATGGGGGCACGATTATTATGCCCTGCGGTTCTTCACTGTAACATGTACTTTAGCTCTGACCGAAAACACGATTCTAGTCGTTAAGGCAACTATGCTAGTCTACTGCTTCGACCGAGTCTGAACGGCCCAGTTTAGGGTGGGGGTTTAGGGTTTAAGCTTCAGGCTACTGGGTGCTTCTAGGGATTCTAGAGGAGGCTTGGAGAATCTTCCCCGTAGGCTCATAGTACCTGACAATCAATAACCCTAAACCCTAAACCCTAAACCCTAAACCCTAGACCAACATTCCTCCATTGGGTTCTTTTGGACCCTTCTTATCCGCAGGACTCCAAGTATGCTAATCGCCCCAAGTTGCGGTCTACCGTTTTCATCGTTTATCTAGTCACTACTTCCTGCTGCTTGGAGTCTGGGTGCAGGGGCCATTAGGGACATTGAAAGCATTCGTTGATAACCTCTGGCGAGACATGTCTTATTTTGACATTTCTGAGCAATGAGGAATAGTACTCAACATCGGGCTCCCGAAGCCCTAAACCCTAAACCCTAAACCCTAAGCCGTTTCAACTGAACTTCGGGCCCCCTTTTGACCCTAATACTTCCTTTAAGGGGATCCTGACATAGTTTCCGACCCTAAACCCTAAACCCTAAACCCTAAACGCTAAACCGGCTCGGCGTCGCAGTCTACCGAGAACCCCTGGCTCTGCCCCCTTTTTCACCAAGTGGATTCCCAGCCTGTGCGCGGGAACAGTGACCCAACCCCAACAACTAGGAAGACCATTCCTTAGGGTTTAGGGTTTAGGGTTTAGGGTTTAGGGTTTAGGGTTTAGGGTTTAGGGTTTAGGGTAACCTTTAACCTATTGGGCCTTATATAATCCTTTTTTGGGCTAGGGTACTCAGCCTCTAAGTTCAGGACTCCCTATCAACATGTGTAGTACACTACAACTGACACTCCGATTCCAGGTACTACGGCACAAAAAAACCCTAATCCCTAGGCCCCTAAACCCCTAAACCCTAAACCCGTAAACAAACCCCTAAACCGTAAACCCGAAACCCCTAAACCCTAAACCCTCCCTGAACTTCAAGCCTTCTCCCAGCCGGGCCGGAATCTTTGCTATCTCAGCAGACGGGGTCGTTGCAATTACTCGTCTGCCAATTCAGCTGCAAAAAGGGGCTAAACCCTAAACCCTAAACCCTAAACCAGGGTTGTGATCGCATGAGTTTTTGGGGTAGCTGGGCTTCAGGGTACAGCCTAAGAGGGCAAGGCTTGAGAAGAAGATGAGAGCTGAACCTTAAGCCCTAAACCCTAAACCCTCCACCCAGCCCAAAGATGACTGCAGTGCTGGATAGCTGGATTCTCTTCGAAGCTTGGGCATAGGGACCCTAAACCCTAAACCCTAAACCCTAAACCCTAAACCCTAAACCCTAAACCCTAAACCGATCCGGGGGTTTGGGCAGCTGCGGTCTAGGCTTCGGGAACTGCGAGGATCCAGCAGCCCAGAAACCTAGCTGATGCACCTTTTAGGGATTGGGGTTTGGGGGGGTGGGTGGGGGTTTAGGGTTTAGGGCTTTAGGGTTTTAGGGTTTAGGGTTTAGGGTTTAGGGATGTAGAAGCCTAGATAATTACCAACATTACTGTTAGGTCTCCTTATTATCATAACACTATAAAGGAGCCCGAAGCCCTGTTCTCTTATTCAGGCCCCTACACTACTTGGGTTGCGGGCTAAGTTTTACGGACAAGCTTAGGGCCTTATAGAGCTTTCATGCAAGGTTGAGTACCCAGATGCACCATAAACCCAAAACCCTAAACCCTAAACCCTAAACCCTAAACCCTAAACCCTAAACCCTAAAACCCACTCAACTTTCTGAACTCTGAGCCCCCGAGACCCGAGCCCTAAACCCAAACCGTTTGAAGAAACGGGCCTCCGAAGCGTCCACACAGGATTCGCCCTCTAGAACCCCAAACCCTAAACCTCCCTACGCCGCAAATACACCCCTAAACTGGGCTCTAAACCTGAAGCCCTGAACCTTGGTGCGTGTCTTGTTCCTGATTATGGGAACTGCAAGTTCAAGTCGCTACCTAAATATGGGAGTTTCTGACAATAAGGGATACATTGTTTGGGGGGGGGGGTCCTTTAAATAAGGATCCTACTATTTAAGGTACTACGTTAGGGTCCCCTATTTTCGGAAGCCCTCTATATCCTACAAGATGCACGAATTCAACCTCACAGTCCTACTGTGGATCGTCAGAATCACGACCTTCACTGTCCAAAGCCTGGGAAGTAGCAGATGGTCATGAATCATAACGATGCAGCCGGCAGTATCAAGAACCTGGCAAGGATACGGCTAGTTCTCTAGATTAGGGCCGTTTTTCTTCCTGGGGGTGTCGTACTTGTCTTGAGACCTAAACAGGGACCCTCATGAAGAGAACTACCGATATAGTAAGTACACATCAAACAAACGACCTGCCCCTGGTTGCCTGGCACCACGAAACTCACAGAATGCAGCAGCCCATGTCCGTGACGAATCCTGACATTCTGGTACTATGGCTTTCACAGTATGCACAAGCCCATGCCAGAACTGGCTGTCGAGCATTCTCCAAGCACACAGCCTGCACAAGAGGTAAGCCGATCAAGTACAGGCCCATGCCAGTGACAACTCACACCTCCTGTCTGTCCGGCATCAGGAAACCGAATCAAACCACACCATACCCCAAACCCTAAACCCTAAACCACAAGCACATGCATGAAGTGGTCTCAGATTTCCAATCGCTGCGGTTGTGGGCCCAAGCCTTAGCGCTGGAATCAGGCCTCGAGAAGCAGGAAAGCCCACAAGACCCGAGCACATCATGTCGCTCCAGCACCTGTGTGCAGTATTGCAGCTGCAACTTCAGCAACAAATCATCGAAGGTGGTCGACGTAGTGCTTCGGGTCGTTTGAACTTCTCCCTAAGTTTCAGTTCGCTTCACAGGCTTGCGGCTTATCCTTCAACGCAGCCTTTACAGCATCCCTATAGATCCCTTATCGTACCCTTGTAGTACCCATATAATCCCTGATAGTAACCTTGTAGTACCCCTATAATCCCTTATAGTACCCTTGTAGTACCCATAGAAAGAACCCTTATAGGATCCTGCCAGCGCCATGGGGCAAGTCTCCTCCATCTCCATGGCGACGCCCGGTATTCTGGGACTGGATGCGAGGGCCCCAGTTCTAAACCCTTAGGGTTTAGGGTTTAGGGTTTAGGGTTGAGGATTTAGGATTTAGTGTTTAGGGGTTGGGGTTTGGGGTTCGGGGTTTAGGGTTTAGGGTCTAGGGTTTGGTTTGGAGTGGAAGGTCTAGGGTTAAGGGTTTAGTATAAACCCCCTCCCCCAAACCCTAAGGGTCCAAGTACCTAATAATCATATACTCTCCCAAATATTAAGCTAGAATACTACTATCCGTAACCAAAGTACCCGATTNNGTCCTTTGGACCCTTAGGGAAAGGGTCCAAGTAACGGTACAGTATATACTTCTGCGACCCAAATGCTGCTTCTGCTGCGACGTACCTACTGTGTTCTTGGACTTTTCGGGTAAGCCCTAAGATACCGCTGTCGGGGCTTTAGGTTCTGATGTTCGTGTCTGACATGGTTTCCATGCATGTGTCATATCCTGACTCCTCAACCCCAAGCGTCGGGCACTGAACCCATGGCCGTGCCCAAAACGACTAGCCGGTCCTTTCTCATACTCAGGTTTAGGGTGGGAAATAACAATGCATCGGTCTTAAGAGGGCCCTGGAAAGACCAAAGTTGCAGATGCCCCTTAAGTCCCAATGGCATGAGCACTTAACCCCCCTAAACCCTAAACCGTAAACCCTAAATCCTATAATCCCCTATAGAACTTGTAGAGACCCGTGGAAGTCTTCAAGAGCCCTATACCCTAAACCCAAAGGCCTGCACGTCCATTGGGAGCTTCAGCAAGTGAGCCCGGCGTGTGTTGGACGGCATTGCTTTGAGTTTTTGGAGCTTTTGGGTTTGGGGTTTAAAATTTAGGGTTTTAAGGTTTGGGGGTTGGATTCTTGGGTGTAGGGGTTTCAGGGGTTTGAAGCTGTAGATTTCGATTTGGGCCACTGGAGTGTAGAGTTCCGGGGCTGTGCTCCAGATCACTGCTTAGAGTTGACGGCTCGAGTACGTGATTTCCGCACTCAGTGACCATGCCCTATGGGTCCATGTACCCAAATCTAGATACTTTGGCCCCAAAGTACTCAAGTAGGGACTACTTTAAGGCCAAAGTATCTACTATGTAGATATGCAAAAACTTGAGCCTGACGCAGACAATCTCCCTAAACACCAACCTCCGAAATGCTAGCTGCTAGATCTCTCTGACACCGAACCGAAGTTACTGCTGAAGACAAACAAGCAGCCGATATCAGCTTGACACCCGAAGGGTCCCTGTAGTTTCTTACGGGTTTGCTTAGTCTAGAGTACTGAGTAGTGGTAAGTACTGATGGTAGGTCAGGCTTCGGGTAGCATTCTTAAGTTAGAGTTGGGTGTCAATGTCTAGGGCCTAGGGTTTCTTGGGATGCTTTCAGTCAGCCGGGGTCCGCTGTTCTGCGGAGGAAAGTTCAGAAACTTCCTAGACACCCTAAGCCCTACACCCTAAATTCCAAATGCTGAAGTCTAAGCTAAACGAATGAAACCCCTAAACCCTAAATGAAACACCATGCTTAACCCTAAGCGAATGAAACTCGAAACCCTAAATGAAGAAAGCCACTAGACCATAAACCCTATACAGCTCATAAATTCTACACCCCACAGACCCTAAACCCTGAGCCTTGCACAACACGAAGGTGAAGGAAGGAAAGACTGCGGCACTACCTCGCCCCAACGACCCTCTATTGTCCGAACGGTCCAGGATTTTATGGGTTTAGGGTTTAGGGTTTAGGGTTTAGGGTTTAGGGTTTAGGGTTTAGGGTTTAGGGTTTAGGGTTTAGGGTTTAGGGGTTATGGTCTGGAGCTTTGGGGGTTGAGGGTTTCGGTTCTTCAGGGTTTCGGGCATTTTCGGGCTTCGGGTTTAGGGCCCAGGGTCCATGTAACCAACCATACAGTACAGATATTTCACGTTTATCTCAAACTATTTCTTTCCACAGGAGCCCCTTTAAGGCCTGGTGCCTACGCTCTAGGTACATGGACCCTTCGGGCTGCAAGGAATAATCAAGTAGCCTCAGGGCCGAGATACCGACTTGGGGTGTCGCTGGTGAACCCCTAAGCCCTTAAGCCCTGAGCTACCCTGAAACCCTGACCTAAACCCTAAACCCTAAACCCTAAACCCTACATCCCATAA